TAAATATATACAGAAATTTAAGAATAGAAAAATAATTAATTGATTTTATTATTTTTGTTCTTAATTTAATATTTTCTGCAGGTATTTTTAATTTCTATTGTATTATTTACAGTTTTTATTTATTTGTTTGTTCATTTATTTTGTTAATAAATAATTGGTAGCTTTTATTAATTAGACAAGTGTAGGGGAATGGTGTAATGAAAGTGTAATTAAACAAACAAAAAAAGTGTCAATAACTAAATAAACATTCAAGTAAAACAAAAAAAAACGATTAAAAACAAACAAAAAAAATCCCTGATACACAGAATTCAGAAAATATATCAGATTTGATGAACAATCATTTCTCGATCTGCAATGCATAGAATAATCATCACAACCCTATTTAAAAGTGTATAGCGGTGTACTCACCATGAACCCCGGACTGCAGCAGCATCTGGTTGCTGGTCTGAGACTGCAGGTATGTGTGTGCGCTGCTGCTGTAAGTGGGAAGAGTGTTACTGGTGCTGCTGGTCAGGGGCAGAAACTGAGCGCTGCTGCTGCTGCTGCTCTCAGTAGGGTTCGGCGTCAGGTAAGGAGAAGGCGTCAGGTACGACAGATGCGAATATTTGTGCAGAAGTGTGCTGGACTGCTGCGGCATCATACAGGTTTGTTGAGGTAACACACTGTTCGTTTGCTGAGACAGGAGGTTATTATTCTGCTGGGTTAATAAGGAGTTGGACGGCTGAGGAAATGTGTTGAGCTGGAAATTTAAAGTGCTGTTTTGTGAAGCTGAAGTCATGTAGTCCAGCTTTACCGAGGAGCCCAGACCATCATAATCAAACCTGTGAACAGCAAAACACACTGTTAGATCTGAGTGTATTTGCTTTCAGTTAGAACTGATGATTTGAAGCTGTGAGCAAAGTTTGAGAAACATTTAATGAATGTAAATCAGCAGCCAGAGTCAACCAATAGGAATGAAGAGAGTAGAGCATGTGATCAGTCTTCCGTGAGATAACAGAAAAGGGTATGAAGAAAAAAATAATAATTTAAATAATAATAATATCACCAACATAAATTGATTTTATTAATATCATTTATTTATACAGTTGAGAAAATGTTTAAAGATGCAAATTAGCAGTCAGTGTCAACCAATAGGAATGAAGAGGGTAGAGCATGTGATCATGTGGTCTTCTTTGATATAGTACAGTGAAAGGTAGGATTAAAAATTATAATAATTTAAAAAAATAATAATAAAATCATCAACATAAACTATTGATATCATTTATTTATACAGCTGAGAAATGTTTAAAGATGCAAATTAGCGGTCAGTGTCAACCAAAAGGAATGAAGAGGGTAGAGCATGTGATCAGTCTTTTGTGACATAATATATAGAAATGGCAGGACTAAAAAAATATATATAATTATTAATAATAATAATAATATTAAAAGTATCAAGAAAAACTGATTTTATTTTATTTTATTAATTTATAAAGTTGAGAAATCTTTAACGATGCAAATTAGCAGTCAGTGTCAACCAATAAGAATGAAGGTGGTAGAGCATGTGATCAGTCTTCTGTGAGATACTAAAGTGAAGGGTAGAATTAAAGATATACAATTTAAATGAATAATAATAAAATAATTAACACGAACTGATTTTATTAATAGGGGCGAGGCAGTGGAGCAGTAGGTAGTGCTGTCGTCTCACAGCAAGAAGGTTGCTGGTTCGTTGGTTCGAACCTCAGCTCAGTTGGCATTTCTGTGTGGAGTTTTCATGTTCTCCCTGTCTTCGCGTGGGTTTCCTCCGGGTGCTCCGGTTTCCCCCACAGTCCAAAGACATGTGGTACAGGTGAATTGGGTAGGCTAAATTGTCTGTAGTGAATGAGTGTGTGTGTGTGATTGTGTGTGTGGATGTTTCCCAGAGATGGGTTGCGGCTGGAAGGGCATCCGCTGCGTAAAAACTTGCTGGATAAGTTGGCGGTTCATTCCGCTGTGGCGATCCCGGATTAATAAAGGAACTAAGCCGACAAGAAAATGAATGAATTAATGATTTCATTAATATAATTTATCTCATTCAATTATTCATTTTCTTTTCGGCTAAGTCC